CCCCCCCCCCACCCCCCCCCCCCCCCCCCCCCCCAAACCCCCCGGTTCTCTTACCACCAGACGGACAAAAAACAAAGGGGAGGGGGCCCCCCCCCCCCCCCCACGCCTGCCAGTGGAAGGAAGGGACATTGCCCGGGGGCCGACCAGGCATACATCAGCCAATGTGCTCACTCGCAGCCAGATACCCACACACCCACACCCATGCTTGGTGTCGAAAGATCTGAACTTGGTCCCCCAGCCCAAACGTACTAGGCACGGCTTTGGGTGTTTGTCCGGCTTCCTTCCACGCCTCGGGGCTGCGAGGCGGAGTAATCAGCGCGAGCCTTAGGTAAGGGTCGGGCACACCACTCTGACGACCGGGCTGCGGTGTGATTACAACGTGATCCATCCATCATCCGCATGATCAGACCGAGCGCTTTCATGGCCCCAAAGTGCCCGCGCGGCGGGGCCAGCTTCCAGCCGGTCAACCAGCCAGTTGGCCAGCCATCCACCGCCCTGGCAGCTCTCTGAGGCCCCGCCCCCCCCAGACACGCCAACTCCCCCCGTGGAAGTGGAGTCGAAGGGAGTGGTGGCCTTCGCCTGGCCCGGGGCCGGCGTGGGTCCTCCCGTGCTCCCGGCACCACCCGGGTGGATCTTGCCGCGGGTTGCCCTTCTTCTTTTCGAGCAGTGGACATATGCCCCCGAGCCAGCCGCATGGGCGCGCCAATTGAATGATGACGCCACCTGGACCCCTGGGATGCTGGGCGCCCTCCGCCCCGCCCCGCCCCGCCACCGCGCCCTCCAGTCCCCCGGTCCCCGGGAACAACACGCAGGCATTTGCTCAAACACCCGGACCTTCGCATACCACCCCCTGGGATGTACGCGTGCACTTCGGGCGTACGCCTTGCCTCGCCTGCCTCCTCTCTCCCCCCCCCCTCGTGGACGATCTCCTGTCCCCTGGAAGGATCTTTGCCGACCACAAGCCGGGCGGGGATCTTCTTCAGCCACCAGGGGGGCGAGGGTGGCCCGGTCGGCACCGGGGCATCACACTCCGCCTTTGCTTGCGTCACGACATCCTCTTCCTCCTGGCACCTCAAAACACCCCAGGCCCGTATACACGCACGCCCACCCACCCACCCAGCCCCACCCACACATCCACAATGAGCGAGCAGGACAAGAACATGACCCCCATCGACGGCGTTCTCGAGGAGCTCCCGTCTGCCAAGCCGGAGGGCTTTGTCGAGGAGTTCCTTCATGACGATGAGGTCCACGAGCTTGTTGGTTCCGACGGTGAGGACAACATCGAGCCGGTCGACGACATGATGGAGGCCTTTGAAATCGAGATGCACATGGGCTCCGACGATGAGGACAACCAGGACGACAGCATCGTGGAGGACATGTCCCGCGCGAACTATGCTGCGCACAAGGGTTCGTTTTCATCGCCTTTTTCTCTCCCTCCCTCCCTCTCTCTCTCCCTCTCTCTCTCGCGCGCGCGCGCGCGCGCGCTGACCACCCCGAGCACCTGCTCACTTCGCTTGCACACTCTCTCCCTCACACTTCCCCCTCACACTTCTCCCATTTGCCACACGCAGGCCCGGTCTACGCGGTCGATGTGCACATGGGCGCTGGCCTCGTGGCCACTGGCGGCGAGGACCACAAGATCTTCCTCTGGTCCATGTACAAGCTGGATGAGACCCCGCTGGCTTGCTGGATCGCTCACACCGACTCGATTGTCTCGCTGAAGTTCAACGAGACCGGCTCGCTGCTCATCTCCGGCGGCATGGATGGCACCGTCTGCGTGTGGGATGTCACTGGCCGTTGCGGCAAGGTGGTTGACACCTCCAGCGATGTGTCCACCGATGAGCCGGTTGTCATTCTGACTGGCCCGTCTGAGGTCATTGTGCGTGCATCTGCCTCCTGCTGCGCCCCTCCCTTTCCTCCTTCCTGTCCCCTTTTGTCTGCTTTCCTCCACCCGCCCACGCACAAACGGCTGGTGCTTGCCTTCTGACGGGTGCTTCCCCCCCCTCCCCCTCATACACACACACACACACACACACACACACACGCACACACACTGCTGGCACAACAGTGGGTCAAGTTCTCCCCCGACTACGAGACCATTATGGCCGGCTCGGAGGACGGCACCGTCTGGCTGTGGTACACTCCCCAGGCGCCGGAGAAGGGCGCCCCCAAGCTCAACCCCGATGACTTCATGCAGAATGTCCTGGCCCACCATGAGGGCAGCGTGCATGTCGGCGAATTTAGCCCCGATGGTGCGTGCATGTTCACACCTCTTCCGTCTTCCGGAGGGGCATCCCAATGAATGAAGGCACTTGCCGCACGCCGCCGCCCCTGACACACCCTCTCTGGCGACCTCTCCCCTCCCTCCCCCTCCCACGTACAATGCTCCACCACAGGCAAGATGATTGTCACCGGCTCTTCGGATGGCAACCTGATTGTCGTGGACCCCCTCTCCGGTGTGGCCAAGCACACTTTCAGCAGCCAGGTCGATGGCCGCTTCCCCTCTGGCGGTATCACCGCTTGCGCCGTTCACCCCTCCTCGCAGCTGATTCTCGTCGGCAGTGACGAGGGCGGCCTGGCTCTGGTCAACTCCCAGACTGGCAAGGTGCGTCTTGCGTTTGTGTTCTCCCCGCTCCCGCTCTCGCTCTCTCTCCCCCCCCCCTCCCCCTCCTCCCCCCCTCTCCCTTTCTGCCCAATGCCTCCGACCGCCTAACACGACTTCCTCCTCCCTCTCCTCCCTCCTGCGCAGCTCATCTCCGTTCACGAGTCCCATGAGGATGGTGTCGAGTCGATTTCCTATTCCCCGACGTATGCCTATCTTGCCACTTTCTTAAATGAGCCTTTTTGTGTGCCTGTTCCTCACATGCCCTCCTCCCCGTAGCAACCCCTTCGTTGCCACCGCCGGCATTGATGGCAAGGTCTGCATCTTCGACACCTCGAACATGCGCCGTCGCCACGTTCTTGCCCACCAGGTATGTGCTCTCTTTCTCTCTCCCTCTCCCTCTCTCTCTTTCTCTCTCTCTTTCTCTCTCTCTCTTTCTCTCTCTCTCTTTCTCTCTCTCTCTTTCTCTCTCTCTCTCTTTCTCTCTCTCTCTGTCCTCCTTCTGGTTGCATCGCCAGTCATCATAGCCTTTCATGCTAATCCACCCTGCTATGTCACACACACACACACACACACACACACGCACAGGAGCCTGTCATCAAGACTGCCTGGCACCCGGTGGCCCCGCTCCTGGTCACCGCCTCCATCGACCGGTCGCTCCGTGTCTGGGACGCCCGCAATGGCACCCTTCTTAAGACCCTGACTGCTCACACTGAGGGTATTCTTGACATGGCGGTGTCGTTCCCGACCCACGCCCCGGCCGGCGTGCAGCCTGCCAACATCCGCGGTGTCGCGGTCACTGGTGGCGATGACAACATGGCCTTCCTTTTCGAGATCTAAGCTCACAACACCGCCATGTGCATTAGACACATGCGCCGCCGCGCATGCTGTTAGCTCTCCTTCTTCCTTTGCTACGCCTTGCGCAGGCGCACATGGCCTCCGGCTGGCAGACTGAAGCCGCATTTCATCCCTCCCCTTTCACTCCCTCGCCCTCTCTTCTGTCGGTGGAGGGAGCAGCCCGGCTGACTGTAGAATAACACTCAAATCCCAACAACAAACGTGCTCGGGGCGGGACGGGGGGAGGGGGGGGGGGGGCTTGCCCACGCATGAACAGATGGCGTCTCTCCGCCCTGACGTCGCGAACAATATAGCGAGAGAACCGACAGGTAGCCAGCCGCATGGGCACTTCGAGGGCGAGGAAACCTGTACCCGCGAACAGGGGGGAAGGGGGGTGACACGAGAGAGAAAAGTACAACAAGAAGCCTCAAAACAAGAGAAGGGGGTTAGAATTATGCTTGTAAGACTGTATTGTGTTGGGGAGGGGAGTGGGGGGGGGGGGGACCTCACGCTCTGGCTCTGTCACCCGCAATACAATCAGGCGCAGGGCAACAGAGGCAGGGTAAGGAAAAGAGACAACAAAGGAGGGGGAACAAGGCACAGCGCAGGACTCACTGGCACAGCCCGGAGTCCTCCCTTCCGTGGGACACACGTAGGAGAGAGGAGGGCGAGGGGAATGGCCTCTTGAGAATGCGCGATATGCACACCGCCCGGCGCTCTACGCGCAATAAAAAAAGGAGGAGGGAAGCAAGGGCCTGAAAAAGGAAAAGGGAGATGAGGGAGAGCAACAGGGGGGAGGGGATCACCTTCCCTCGCCAAGTATTGCTTTGCCTTAGTTGCGGCCACCATAGCTGCTGCTGCTGCTGCCGCCACGGTCGTAGTCACGACCGCCACCGCCGCTGCTGCCGCCGTAGCTGCTGCTGCCGCCACGATCATAGCCGCCGCCGCCGCCGCCACCGTAGCCGCGACCGCCGCCGCCGCCGCCGTAGCCGCGACCGCCGCCACCGTAGCCACGGCCACCGCCGGAGCGACCACCGAAGCGACCACCACCGCCACGGCCACCGGAACGGCCGCCGCCGCCGCCACCGCGGCTGAAGCGGTAGCGCTCCAGGAAGGAGGGGACCTCCTGCTTGGCCTCGACCAGGCGGTCGAGCAGGTCACGGCCGAGGCTGCCGTTGGTCTGCTCGTTGAAGAAGGAGATGGCAATGCCGGTGTTACCAGCACGACCGGTACGACCGATGCGATGGACGTAGTCGTCGATGTGGGTCGGCAGGTCGTAGTTGATGACCAGCTTGACATCGGGGATGTCCAGACCACGGGAGGCCACATCGGTGGCGACGAGGATGCGCACGCGGCCATTGCGGAAGGCGTTCAGAGCGCTCTCACGCTGGTACTGCTCCTTGTCGCCGTGAATGGCGGCCGCGGTGATGTTGTTGCGAAGAAGGCTGTACTCAAGGCTGTGCATCGAGAGCAAAGGCGGAGGGGAGAGGGGGGGCGGGGAGGGGAGATGAGGGAGGGGGGACGGTCAGGACAACAAGCGAAAAGTGCTGGCACTGAGTGCCGTGGACCCATGGGGGGCGGAGGGGGGAGGGGGGGGGGGGGGGGAGGGAGGCAGATACGCACGAGTCGGCACCACGCTTGGTGGTGCAGAAAATCAGGCACAGGCCCTCGGTGTGCTTAGACAGCAGGAGGCCGAGCACGGTGTTGAGCTTCTCGCGCTCCTCCACATACTGGATCTCCTGGGTGATGTTCTCGGAGGTGGCACCCACACGGCCGACCGTCAGGAAGAGGTGGTTCCGCAGGAAGTCGCGCGCCAGGGACTGAATCTCCCGGGGGAAGGTGGCCGAGAACATCCAGGTCTGGCGCTCACCGGCGGGCGGCATGTCGGTCCGCTCGACGATCTCACGGATCTGCGGCTCGAAGCCCATGTCCAGCATGCGATCGGCCTCATCGAGAATGAGGTAAATGCACTGGGAGAGAGACACCTTGCCGCGCTCGATCATGTCCTTAAGACGGCCGGGGGTGGCAATGCACAGGTTGCAGCCGCGGTCCAGCTCGCGAAGCTGCTCGCGCACCGGCGCACCACCGTACAGGGCAACCGGGCGAATCCAGGTGCGGAAGGTGAACTACAAAGATCCAGGCACACAAAGGGAGGCATGTCAGGAGAAGGGGGAGGGGGGGGGGGAAAGAAAAGAAAGAAAGATGGATGCGGATAAGAGGGCGCGCGGAGAGGGGAGGCGAGAGCAGGGTGTGTGCCCCGCGTGGAAGGGGACACGACGAGGGGAAAGAGGCAAAGAGACCGAGGGAACGAGGGAGAAGCCGGGCCCCGCACCTTGCGCGCATCCTGGTAGATCTGGGTGCAAAGCTCGCGAGTGGGAGCCAGAATCAGGGCATCGGGGAAGACCTGGCGGTTGAAAGACCGGTTGGTGGTCGGGGGAGAACGGACGTTGCCACGCTCGAGCAGACGCGACAGCATGGGGAACAGGAAACCGGCAGTCTTACCGGAACCGGTCTGGGCACAGGCCATCATGTCACGCCCGGCCCGGCCGATGGGAATGGAATACTTCTGCACCGGGGTGGGCTTGTCGAACTTGGCCAGGCGAATGTTGTTGAGGAGCATCTCCGGAAGATGGGCCTCATCGAAGGTGGTAATCAGCTCCGGGGCATCGTGACCCTCGACATTCATCGGAATGTCGTCATACTTGTCGAAGTTGATACCGGTCGAGGTGGTGGACGCGAAGAGGTCCTCCTCGGTCATGGCAGCGCCGGAAGCCTGGGCAGTGCCGCTGTAGAAGTTCGGCCCAGAGGTGTCGTAGGCCGGGGGGGCAGAGGAGCCGCCGTAGCCACCGCGGGAGCCGCCGTAGCCGCCACCGCCGCCGTAGCCGCCGCTGCTGCCGCCGTAGCCACCGCCACGAGAGCCACCGTAGGAGGAAGACCCACCATAGGAGGAGCCACCGTAGGAGGAGCCACCATAGGAGGAAGACCCGCCGTAGCCGCCGCTGCTGCCGCCGTAGCCGCCGCGCGAGCCACCGTAGGAGGAAGACCCACCGTAGGAGGAGCCGCCGTAGCCACCGCCGCT